GTGTCTAGAGCAGAGTGAATACATCAAAGCATGAATTTTTCGTGTGTCACCATAACCCTGGAGTTGATAATACCTTTATGAACTTTTAAAATAAGCGCAGATATTAAAACAATCTAATCATAGAGTTTTGGCGCTGGAAGGTATTTTGGGGATAATTAAGGCCGATAACCTTATTGTATAGGTGAGGTCTCAAGAAATTAAGTAACTTACCGATGTCACATATCTCATTGATGTGGCAGAGCCAGACCAAAGCCTGTGTGTCCCCTCATAGTCCTTTTGCTACAATATCCACAATCACAGCTTTCTCTGTAAGATATATTTACATATGGCATTGTATGTTTAACAGAACTGAAAACATATGCTAAAATTTAAGCAATTAGAGAAATGACAACGCATTTTTAAAGCGATATGAAATGTTTTCTCTTGGAAAATATTGGGGTACGAGTAAGAAGACTATAGTATTTACTGCATTGAACTGAATACATTTTTATTAGGAGGCATAATTCCTTTGGCTGCGTAGAGTCCTGCTGCATTTGGTTTCCTTGACTTTATGAAATTTATTAGGATGGGCCTGTCAATAATGGTGCTGACACTTCCAACCTTCTATAGCACTGGGCCTGAAAATGAACTGTGATGAGTGAGATGGCCGGCATTTACAGTAATAGCCTATATTTCGCTGTCATGCGGAAATGACAGGTAGTTTAATTTAAAAAAAAAAAAAAAAACTAAGAAAAAGAAAGTATTCCTTGTAATTAGGATTTCTGGACTTTTTTAGGATATAAATTTAGAATCTGGTTTCTTTGTTAAAGATTTTGGAACTGTTTTATTCTATTTCTAGATCTTTTAGCTGTGCCTAAGCATCCGTATGCTGCTATGGAGAACTGGGGACTAAGTATTTTTGTGGAACAAAGAATACTGCTGGATCCCAGTGTTTCATCTATTTCTTATTTGCTGGATGTCACCATGGTCATTGTTCATGAGATATGTCACCAGGTATGAGAAAGAGGATCAGGTGTAAGTATAACGTGCAAGCTATTGAGAATGTAGAATAATTTCAGATACCTAGATTAAGAGCTAAATTATTATCCTCCCAATTAAGTTTTAATTTTATATGGAACACTGTGTAGCTCTTTTTGGAAGATATGCTATTTTTCTCAGATGACAGCACAAACAAAAACAAACACGCCAGTCATATTGAGTGAGTAACTGTTATTCCGTTTAGTTGAGGAGTGAGGTGGCACTGCCACCAGCAGCCTCTTAGGATCCCCTATCCGGTTGCTATTATCAACCTTGCTTTCGTTTCTTGTGATTATTAGTGTGTATATATGGTAAGTGCAGTGATGGCAATGATTTATTGCATTGCTGCAAGATGCAGCTGAGTTTTGTGTACGTGTCAGAATTTTCTTTTGCTGAAATCAATTTGTTATTCCCCTTTTCCCATCACATAGACACTTAGGAAGTCTTTCACTAACTCAGCCGTACACTCTTTGTTCTCAAATGATTGATATTTTTTGTCTTGGCATGTTTAGAAATTCATATGTAAATTAGCCAACTTTGTAGTGAAGATAAGACAAAATTAATTTCATTTTGATTTTATGCACTTTCTTACAATGAGTGGAAGGTATTAGAGAGATTTTGCATGCCTTTCTGAATCTTGATTTTAGTGAAAAAAAAATCACTGAAAATAGATGTTGATGCTAATAGAAAGCAATACCTGTCCAGGTTACTAGTAACTATGGATAGTTTTTAACTTAAAACACCAGAAATCTCATTGTAATACAGTATGATTTCAATATATTATAAACCCCAAACCTTTTTAAAACCTAGAAAGACTGAAGAAAGAGCAACGTGGAAAATGCTGTCAGTGAAAGCAGGTGAACTGTTAAATGCTAATAAATAAATACTGGATGTATTGGTCCAGGTCATGAGACCACTTACCTAAAGGTCAAGTATTTTGCAGAGACCCTCTAAGATGTTTGTACCTGTCATGTTGGCCAGGTTGGGCCTGTTTTTTTCACCTAGAGACTTAAGGGAACCAATTGCAGAGATAACCTGGGCTCCACTTCTGTGCCAAAGAGGATGGTTTCCACCTGAACCTATAACTCTTTGAGGCAAAAGCAGTTTCCTTTTCAAACATTTCTATAAATGACAAGTTAGATATATAGTTCTGTTGAAATGAAAGCACTCTGATAATGCATAATTAATTGCTCAGAGAACTGGGTTTCATTTGTTTCATACTCTAAGTCACTTTCTCATTGTAGCTTAGTATCAGTAGGCCACTTTCCAGGGGGGAATGACCCAGGAGCTAGGAACAACACTTAACAATAATTTCTACCATCATTACAAAATTAATTTCTATGTTACCCTCCCTCCCCACCTATTTGTTGTCACCATTCTGAAGACGGGTTTTCAATTTAAAGGAGAACATGTATTATAGATAAAGCATGTTAAAACTTGTAAATATTTTTTGTGGTTATCAACATATTTGGAGCTACCTTTTATTTGCATTTGAATGAGAGGTCCTCTTAAGGAAGAGATACGTTATTATTACGGTTGAAACTCTGAGTCACCAAGCTTGTTATGGGGCTCCGAAAGCTGTACATGGTCTGGCACTTGTCTGCTCTCTGGACTCTTTCACACTTCCCTCCTGGTCTGTTGTGTTCCAGCTACACAGGTCTTCTGCTTCTTAAATGGCTGATTCCCATTTATAGTCTTCCCAGTAAGGGTTACTTACATCTTCCTGAAATCCTTTTGCCCAGGGCTTTTTCTCATGGCTGGATCTTTCTTATCATTAAAGTTTGAGCTCAAATGTTACCTGCTTAGAGAGAACATTTTTGCTTTTACAATCTAATGCAACCCCTCCTCCCATTTCTATAACACTTTATTAGAATCTGAAATTGTGTTGTTCATTTGTTTGTTTATTTATTTATTATTGTCTACCTCACCTCATTCCCCCTACCTCCACAATAAAAAGTCAGCTGCATGAGAAGGGACATTATCTAACTTTTGTTCATTGAATCCCAATTCTTAAGGATAGCTCCTGGCATATAATTTATTTTTTTTTAAAGAAAAAACAATTCCTATAACATTTTCCTAAATTAAGCAAGAGTTTCATAGCAAGGAATCATAATTTAATCAAAACACCAATAAAAAAAATTCATGATTTTTTATGAACAGATCTTTGAGATTTTTTTTTTTTGGTCTAATCCTCACTATCATGGAATCAAGGAAAGTCGGGATGGACACGCTTGAGGCTCTGACTCGAGGTGGGAGGGGGGGCAAGGGCAATATACATAACCTTAACATTTGTATCCCCATAATATGCTGAAATAAAAAAAGAAGAAAAACAAAAACCCCTTAGTTCCATCAGTCAGCCAATGTCATCTCTGAAATGCCTCTGCCACTAGCAGGTGATGCTTCCATACCTCCTGTGATGAGCTGCTCACTACCTAACAAGGCAGTATTTTCCCATCTTCTGCCATCTCATGTGTTAGAGGGTTTTCT